GTTGTGTCATCAGCATATTGCAGGTTGTTACTGATTCTTCCTCCAATCCTGATGCCACATGTAGTAGTTAAGGTTGTGTGTCAACTTGGCTAGGCCTGGTTTTGAGTGCCTGGACAGCCGGACTTAGTTATTCCCCATGACAAGACTGGTAATCAACTTCATGGTGGAATCTGCAATGAGCAGCTGAGTAGCTGCCTTAAGGATCTGCTTCTAGTATATAAGAAGAAACTTTGAGAAAGGTCTCTGAGCTTCTTAACACATCCAGATCCTGCAGTTGGCTGAGGCTTCATCTCAGTTGGCCTACCATGTTGTCTGCCAATCTTGAGACTGTTTCTGGATTTGAACTAGTGGCCTGCTGTGTTGCTTAATAATTTTGAGACTGTGCCATTTTACTTGTTGACCTTGGGTTTGTCAGCCTCAGCAGCCAGCAGCTGTCTGAATTAAAAGAAGCCTCCATCTTCTGTGGGCTGGGAACAAGAGGCAGAGCTGAAGCCCAAGGTTGAGGGGCTTTCACCCAGCCTTTCGACCTGGCACTTTGAACTTGGACTTCTAGTCTCCTAAATTATAGGTGAATAAATCCGTGTTGCTAAAGCCATGCATTGTGGTATTTTCTGTTAGAATGGCACGAGAGCACAAAAACACCACATTCTTCTTCATGTGGTTCAGCTTCTCTGGTTATTAGCTCAGTGTACAGATTGAGTAAGTGTGGTGAAAAGATCACAACCCTGATGCACACCTTTTCTGATTTTAAACAATCCCCATGTCCTGTTCAAACAGCACCTTCTTGGTCTATGTATAGGTTCCTCATGAGTACAATAAATGTTCCAGAACTCCTATTCTTTGCAATGTTATCCATTATTTGTTATAGTCCACACAGTTGAATGCCTTTGCATAGTTAATAAAGCACAGGTAAACATCTTTCTGGTATCCTTTGCTTTCAGCCAAGATCCATCTGACATCAGCAATGATATCCCTTGTTCGACATCCTCTTCTGAATCCAGTTTGAATGTCTGGAAGTTCTCTGTCAATATATTGCTGCAACCATTTTTTTAATTACCTTCAGCAGAATTTTATTTATATGTGATAATAATGATGTTCGATAATTTCCACATTCTCTTGGATCACCTTTCTTTGGAATGGTTACAGATATGGATCTCTTCCAGTCAGCTGGCCAGGTAGCTGTCTTCCAAATCTCTTGGCATAGCCGAGTGAGTGCCTCCAGTACTGCATCCGTTTGTTGAGACATCTCAGTGGATATACTGTCAATTCCTGGAGCCTTGTTTTTTGCCAGTTCCTTCAGTGCAGCTTGGTTCTCAGTCTTATGCTACATCTTAAAATAGTTGAACATGAGCCAATTCTTACTGTTACAGTAATTCTGTATATTCCTTCCACCTTCTTTTGATGCTTCTTGCATCTGTCAATATTTTGTCCATAGAATCGTTCAAAACTGCAACTTGAGGCTTTAATTTTTTTCTTCAGGTCTTTCAGCTTGATGATATGCCAAGCGTGTTCTTCCCTCTTGGTTTTCTAACTCCAGGTGTTTGGACATTTCATTATAATGCTTTACTTTGTCTTCTCAAGCTGCCATTTGAAATCTTCTGTTCAGCTCTTTTATTATGATTATTGTGATTTGGGTGAAAGTTCACAGAGCACATTTATTTTCCATACAGCAGTTCATGCACATTTTGTTTCATGGTATTGATTGCAATCCCTACAATGTCACAACTGTCTTCCATTTCTGCCCTGTGGTTACCTTTCCCTGTGTTCTTCTTTCCTATG